GCGCGCATAAAAAGAGTGCGACGTGTAACATTTGATATGGTGACGTTACCGAAACGTGCGGTGAAGTGCGTAGTTTTGTACGTTGATTCGGTTTGGTTTGGTTGGTTGGTTTGATGGATTGGAGTTTAAGGTAGTTGGATTTAATGCATTTGTTGCAGTTGCAGTGATGGTGGTGGTGGTTGTGGAGGTTCGTGGTTGATGGTATTGGGAGAAGGTTGTTAATTAGTTAAAAATTAAACAAAAAAACAAAAATACTTGGTTACAATGTAATCATGATTGGAATGAATTTGATGGAGAAATGTTTACGGAGATGTGTAGGAATAGCGTGAAAATAGGCAGTAGGAGGAACGAAGATCAGAACGAAAGTATAAGGGAAGATTTTTAAAAGCTTTTAAAAGCTTCAAGTGTATTTACAAGCATAAGTAAAGCAATTTATGGAAAAGTAAGCAAATAAGTGAAATCAGGAAAGCTTAGAAAGCAAGCGTTCATCTGCAGCTTATATTAGAAAGCTTGCTGAGCTTTTTGAAATGTGTAGTAGTATTAAGTTCAATTGAGATAGCAATTAAAATGCGTTCATTCAAAGCTTCGATAAGTATGTGCATCTTGTTGAGAGTATTCAAAAGTTTGGAAGTGTTGATAATTTTAAGGCATCCCCAGCAAACATTTTTAGAAAGCTTAGAGCTTCCAATCCAAAAGTACAGGCTTTAATTTTAAATTTTTGAAATAAGCACATACTCCGGAGTGCTTCTGTTTATAACAAGTATATTTCTTTTGAAGCTAATAGATATTTTTTGTGCTTTCACTAACGAAAACTTTCACGAGTGATTTTATTTTACAAAATTATTCATGTTCATTATTAATTGGGTGAAATTATTACATGTGAGTAAAAAAGCTCGGAAACTTTAGAAAGCTTCCTCTGCGAGATCTGATTTTTGCAGCCAATTTAAATCTTCGAAGATAAGTGGCAGCTTTTACTCTATGCGTGCTTATATAAAAGCTTTAAAAAGCTTCCTTCGCCTGATATAAATCAGTGACAATCAGAAAGAACTTTTGCTCTTTAGCTTTGGTTTTAGTCGCGACTGATTTATATCAGCGATGATAAAAGAAAGCATTTTACTTTTAGTGTCCCCTATCATTTATAGGTAAGTTTTGAAGCTCTCTATAACCTTAGAAAAGCTTTTTCAAACGGATTCGTTTTAGTCGCGATTGATACATGTAGTTCAAAAAATAACCGAGAGAAAGCTTCTGCGATGTGCATGCCCATATGTAGAAACCTTTACAAAGCTTTTTTCCTCGTGATACCTTTTAATTAGGAGTGACATAAATATAAAGAGCTTTCACTCATTGAAAAATTACAGACTTTTACTCTAACAAAGAGTTGAGCTTTCAAGCTTTCGTGTAAGCTTTATGTCCAATTATATGTTTTCTTTGTAAATGTGTTTCCTTTTTTACGTGAGGTAAGATCAAATCTTTGAAAGCTTAAAAGGCCTCATTAAAATTTTATACATTCGTTTTTAGTCTGCTTGGAGTTTTAATGTTGGACATCACTATAAACGCCTACTTATTTCTATTATTTTGTGTACATATTTTCTTTGAAAGCTGCTTTCGTTTGCTGGGTACCGAGTGTTTGAAAGTTTCAAGAGCGTTGGAAGTGTAAGAAAGCATTTATGTATTGTTTGGGTGAAAGCATATGATGAGATTACTGAAAAGCTTGCAAGCTTCCGAACAAAAGCTTATCGAAAAGTTTTGTAACAAAAGTTTCTTAAGAAGATTTTTTACAAAAGCTTCTTAAAAAGCTTTCTAACAAAAGTTTCTTAAAAAGCTTTTTTACAAAAGCTTCTTTAAAAAGCTTTCTAACAAAAGTTTCTTTTAAAGCTTTTTGATAAAAGCTTCCTGGTAGGGAATATTATCTAAGCACACGAAAACTAAAATTTTCATTTTCTAACTGAGGTACGAGCTTGCATTAGATTTCGAAAACTTGCATATTGAACGAAATAACTTTTAATTTGAAAGCTTGTAAATACATACATGCATATAGCTTCACTCGTAGCGCAAAACTTTGAATTTCTCTGGAAAGCCTTGAGCTTTAATATAATTATGTACCTAAATATGTAAAAGCTTGCAAGCTTTTTCCAAGTAAATGCAGAAATGCTTACTACAACTAACTAAATTACAATTAGCGATACTAACTTTCACAATGCAAGTAGCCCTGTCCCTGAAAGCCGCTCGGGCATAAGCAACGATATGAGCCCGGAAAGTTAATGCATTTAGCGTTCGTGCCACACTTGGCCACTCCATTATCCATATTACATTCGTCTATGTCGACACAGGCCAGACCGGCACCGGTCACCCTCAGCGACGTGCCATTGCCGCCGCCATAAATTCCGCCGCCACCCAGACTATATTCCCGCTCAAACTCGAGCGTATAGCCAGGCGGACAATTGCACGCAAAACTACCGCCAATATTCACGCATTCAGCACCCAAACCGCATGGATTGTTAGTGGAACATTCGTTGACGTCTGCGAGCGGGGTATAATGACGCATGGCGAATGTTGGGTGGGTAACAGACGTCGATGATGTTGCAATGAGTGCGGTACGCGATGCGTTATGATTACGTGGTTAGATTGAATCAAATATTGCCCAAATGTTTTCGTTATATGTTTGTTGTTATATGCAAATGCGTGTTGTTGTTGTTGTTGCAGTTGTTATGATATTTTTATATTAGGCATATGTGTGCAAAAAACATTTAGTATTGTGGTTTATGTGGTTTTGTGCCACCGTGATAAACGTTTAGTGTTTTTTTGTTGTTTTTATTGTTGTATGCGCGAAAAAGTGCAATGATTAAATTGATTTTCCGTGAGGGATGAAAATAAAAGGAACATAACAAATATACTTAGTATCAAAGATCCTTAAAAAAATTAATCTCTCTTCGTATTTCCTCCTTTCTAACTCTGCACTTACCTTCACATCCTTGACTTGGATCACCCGCATAGCCATCTGGGCAAATACATTTGAAACTACCATCTGTGTTCAAGCATTGCGCATTGCGGCCGCATGGCGAACGCCCGCACTCATCATAGTCCGCACAGCCGCTGGCGGAGCGCGCATCTCCGTCGTAACCCTCTGGGCAGTCGCAGCGATAACCGCCCTCGAGGTTCGTACAGATTGCGCCCGGTCCGCAAACATTCGGATGTATGCACTCATCGATGTCCGTACAGCTGTAGTAGGGGTCGCCGTGATAGCCCTCGGGACACGCGCAGGTGTAGTTGCCGGGTGTATTGATGCACTGGGCACCCGTACCGCAGGCAGTGGGACTTTGGCACTCGTCGAGGTCTGTGGTTGCGAAAGAAGAGAATATAAAATATAATATAATAATATCTATTTTGGTATGTCGCAAGCTTAAAGTTTATAAAAAAGATTTTGACTATGTTTTGAAAATATCGATACTTATCGATCAATTTCGTGATTACTCGATTTTAATTTAAAATTCCCCAATTTTTAAGAGATTCCACAATCCTTTTTGAACTTTAAAACAAATCGATTAAAATGCTATCGAAAAGCTATAAAAAATTTAGATTTTCTTTAAATTGATTTTTTTTTTTAATTTTCGAAATTCTAAAAATCGATCGATTTTTTATTACAAAATTCCCATCATCGATCATTACACAACAATTTATCAATAAATTTCAGGAATTCTAAACCCGTGTCTTTTTAAGATGCAAAAATTATTGCATCAAAAAGTTAAAAAAAAAAAAAATCGATAAATTTGAATAAGTCCAGAAACGTTTGCTTCATTAACTTAGAAATTAATCGAGCAATAAAAACAATTCCATCGATAAATTAGAAAAATATTGACAATATTATTAATTGATACGTTCATTGATTTTCGAAAAAAAACCATCGATAAAGGTTAAAACTGTAAAACGAATAATTTTTAAAAATCTCTAAAAATTATACTGCTTATATTAAGAAACAAAGCGATTAATATAAACATTTAATATAAAAATTAAAAAAAAAAATAATCCAAATCTTTCCTTTATAAATTAAAAAAAAAATTGTTTAATATAGAAAAAATATTGATTTATTTTCAAAATTAAAATATGTTTAAAAGAATTTCAACAGCATTTGAGTTAATTCTAAAATTTTCAAAAAAGATAAAATTTAAAAGTGCATCGATAGATATTAAAAAATTGGTCAACAGTTACTTACATTTTTGGAAAGTTCTTTAAAAAATTAAAATGTAATCATCCAGTTAAAAAAATGTATCGATGAATTTTCATCCTGTTTCTTGTATTTCTAATACACATTTAAAAATTAATCTATAAATTCATTTTTTAAATTATTTGCTCAATTTTAAAAATGTATCGATAAATTTTTAAAACCGGTCACAAAACTTCAAACAAAAATACCTATTGCTTTCAATAAAAAATTTTCTGACATTATTTAAAACTAAAAAAAAACGATACATTTACGAAATGACAGAAATAATCTTAGAACTTTTTACAAGTACCTTATTAATTTAAAAAGTAAACAGTATTACCTGGTTAGAAATTCTTGTAGTTAAAAAAGTTCCCTTTGTACAAAACTTGAATATATGAAACATAAAAATTTATCGCTTAATTTTGCCAAAAATTTATTTATAAACAAAATTAAAAATTTTTTTTTAATGAATTTGAAACTTATCTTATCTTACACGAAGATTGTTTACTTTTTTATTATGAAATTTTGTATAGAGATCGATTAATTTTGAAATTTATAAAGAAAAATTTTCTGGAATATGAAAATTTATCGATTGTATTAAGAAAAATGAATTTTCAGAATTCTGGAAATTTTTTAAGCTTTTGTATTGATTCTATTCTAATTAAAAATTCTTAATAAAAATATCTAGAACATACGAAATTTTCGATAAAATTTTTAATTTCAATCGATTAATTTTAAACTTGATAAACTAAAACATTTTGGAATTTTTAAGATTTCCATAAAATGTTTTGAAAAATCGATAGATTTTTGCATACGCGTGGAGACAATTTTTTAGAAGATTGTGGAGATGGAGATTTAATTTCCAAATCTAAGTTTTAAAGCTCTTACATTGTTCATTTTCGAAATCACTAATAAATTTTGACAATATGTTATCGATTATTTTGTGCCGAAAAGCAATTAAATCAAAAAGTTCAAGAAATAAATGTTGCCTCCAAAAAAAAATTTGCTAAAGTATAAAATTATCTAGGAAATCTAAATTCTTGAAATTTCCTGAAATAATTTCAATGGCATGATGATGTCATACTACATACATGCCATCTTTAAATTCTCGTTGAATCCCAAGCTGCTTTGTGCAAATAGCACGCAACCGCAACGAATTCTTTTCGTCAGAAAAAAAAAATAATAGTAATTTTGCCTACCTACCTACCGTAAATTTTCAGATCAAATAGTAATTAATAGACCAGCAATAGCGAACTAAGCGCCATAACCTTACCTTTGCTGCTAAATTCTACGGTTTGAATCGAACTTGCAATAATTTAGTAAAAATGTTAGAAAAAAGTTAAAATTCCATAGTTAGCTAAACCAAACACCCGGACTGTACATATTTTATATGAATCGCCGCTTACCTGTGCACAGCACTTCACCATCGCCCTCATAGCCATCTCTACATTTGCAGAGATAATGCGCTGGCAGATTACAGCACTCGGCATTCGCGACACAGCGCGCTCTTATCGTAGGATCTTGGCATTCGTCGATATCTGTGTGTGAGTAAAGAAAATGAGATGCGTTATGAAGCCGAATGATTAGAGGATTAAAGCGTAGCATATTAATGTATGTGTGATGTGTGTGTGTGTGAGTATCAAAGGGATTAGACATTTAAAATTAATGCTTGAATAAATTGTCGAATGGCAGGAATGTCAAGGTCCAGCTTTTTGTGGCCACTTTTTTTAATAGAGAAAAAATATGAAACAAAATCATATGCGCCAACAACTACTTTGACAGCCGCTTGTAAATATGTACATATGTGGCAATATGTATATTGTGGCAAACGTTTTCCGGCAGCAACAGCAAATTGTACCTTATTTACGCACCATTGCAAAAACTAAAGACTTAAGTGACGAACTTGCTTCAGTGGTCGTTTGATTAGTTGCTTGCTTAGCAAAGAAAGCCCGCCACCCGCCCGCCGCCCGCCCGCCTGCCGGTGACCTTTTTTGTGTTACGCAGTTTTCACGCATCATTGCCAGCCATCTAATGCGTGTATGCAGTGCTTTGTAGTTGCAGCAAAAAATCGGCTTTTGTAAATGTTCCGCATGCGTAGCGGCTGGCAAATGTTGTTGTTGGCCTGTCAGCGCATCATTCAATGTTGGCATTGATTATGCAAATTGAAGGTGATTGCTTAATTTATTTCTATTTGTTTTTATATATTTATCTACATACATACATATATATGTATGTTTCTTTGTATGCTGATTTTTGCGCTGACATTTCATTGTCATTTTGTGGCAAGCGCAACAGTCACAGCCGTGTTGCATGCATGCTTGCTCTCATGTGCATTGTTAGTGGCGTGTAAATCTATGCAAAATTATAAAACTACATGCAGTTCAAGGTTGAGTTGTGGCTTTTAAGTTAATTTACAATAATTTTTATTATACTCAATATGCCATTTTTTGAAGACTATTAGGGTTAGTGTTTAATTAAGCGTTTTCTTATAGAAATATCAAGTCAGGGAGCTTGAGGTCAAGCTTAGTGAGCCATACTCACTTTATTTGTGACATAAATGTGCGAATACCGTTATGCAACAACCAACATCTTTTTCCAAGGGTCTACCAACACAATAGCATACTGGAGCCCATAAGCGTGGCCCGCTGTGATAGTACAGTTTATGGTTATAAGTCTATCTTTCATACCCTTCATGCAAGTATCCGCCCACTGAAAGCCTTAATAGCACCATCAGATACCGCAACCGTTTTTTGAAATTAGTTACAGAGCGAGCGGATAATAAAAAGTTTCTTCATCCTCCTCATAAATGTCAAATTAGAACTTTTTCGCAATATTCTTACATATTTCAGCCGGCCACCACTTCCTTGAAAGCGGATCAGATATTCTTTGTTAAACTTTTTTTTAACAGCTTATCTCTACTTTTAACTGAAAAACACTCGCCTGGTCAAGCAAATGAATTGATCGTTATATCTTAGAGACTAAGAGAAAACACATGTCCCTACTTCACATTCCATTCTGCAGCATCAGCGTATAGAAAATATATCCCGGCGGAGGTATCAAAACGCTATACCTGTCGACTTTCGTTGTCTTTTGTGTTGTTAAAGTACTAATTCATTTGGCGCTGGAACACTCTCTTATACAATTTTCTTAACGCCTTAGTTCGCAATTATTATTGTCTCCACACTTCTATGAAACTTAACTGTGAATATCCTGCTGTTGCAGTTGCAAGATAAAGGCTGCCATGTTGTCAACTACGCCGATGGTATAATCCTAAACAGAAAGCTAATTTGTCGTCGCGGTATATATGGAAGAGCGCCCTACGAAGGAAATTACCCCATATAAGTATACACCTGCAAATCAACAGTAGGTAAAAACGGGGTTAGAGTACCACATTGTTCATTAAAAAGGCTATTCCGACAACTGTCAAAGATAAAAGTCTTTCGTAAGACAATTGTCAATTGTAGCTACTAAATATCTATCTATCAAATCCACACAGTGAGTGCTCTTTACTTCTTATTCTACGGCATCACACTTCAGAAATAAGCTAAGAGGCTCTCTCCACAACGCCGAGAAGAGCCCTAGAAACCTGGCTCCCCTCTTTTTAGCGTTGGGCGAAACTACAGTCAAGTTATAGTGCCGCAACAATCACTGCCTTGATAAAGTGGAGTGGCACTCCAGAATTTTGGAAGAGCTTCCGGCATGCATGAAGTGCCACGAAGATACAGTCTCGCCCCTTGCTCCAAAGAATTATTTCCATACAAAGATTCCCTCAAGGAGAGATTGGCTAGAGAGTCTCATCTTGAACCTGTAACCTGATTTCTCCAAATAAGAACAAGGCCGACCCGCAAGAGCTCTCACTCAACCTCGATTTTCGGATTTTTAAAGCGTTTTTTCAAGCCGAGGTAATACTCATAGCAATGAACGAAGCCGCACGGTGGCTGATCGATTAGTCTTTTATGTAGACAGCCTTACTCAGCTAAGTAGTTCTCCCTTTTGCTCATGCTAGTACCAAAACTATTTTTATCTTGGTCGTAAAGCCTTTGATAAATTTTACAAATTTTAAATACCCTCCCATTAAATGTTGAACTTAGGTTTTTATAATTTTGCCTATTTTATATTTATCGCAACCAGACACTTGCTTTAATCATTTTCTATTTAATTAATTATTCCAATTTTTTCTTCACTTTCAGATTGAACGCGTGTGAACCTTAGCACCTACGGTTATCGACTTCGACTTCTAAAAATTTTCGCATTTGCCACCAACAGCGATTAAACACAAATTTATGACCTCGAACGAGGTCGCCGCCGTCTAATCAAGCGCCAGTTTCTACCTAATACTTGAAGCATCAAACAAAGTGAATTTACAACTGTACAAAAAAATAAGCCAAATAAAAAGAAAAAAATGCTGGTAAACGCCAATTCTATGTTTGAGTGTAAGTACGGGTAGCTAAAAATTTAAGATTCAAAAAAGCAAAAAAAAAAAACTAAATATGATTACAAGTGCAAGTAGCAGGTAGCAGGCAGCTACCAAGGGAAGAGCTGGTGCAAAGAAATGGGCGTTTGTCTTAAGCAAGGCAAGAAGAGGCTAAAACAAAGAAAAAAAAGAAAAGAAGTTAGTAATAACACTAATTTGAGTTTTGGAAATTTGCGTTCGCTTCAAAGTTAATTACGCGCTGCCCGCTTTACGCGCTACTTCGTTTGGTTGCTGTTTTTATAGTCTCATTTTATTAAATTTGTTCTTAGTAAGGTATTTTTTTTCGACCACAGCAAGACACTTGTTATAGGCGAAAAAAACACTTACGTCACCGCGTACCTACTCTCCAGCGTAGCTATTTGTGGGTTGCTGGTATGTAAATTTTTTCTGGCATCTTTTCATATTCTCTGAATCGTTTTTTTTTAACTGACCTTGATTTGCTGCTGACACGCAGATGCTTATAATATAATTTTATTTGCTATATACGCTGGCATTAATTAATTTTCATATGTCATGCTATACGTGCAGAACTACCTGAGTTCTATATGTACGACGAGTGGATTACTTCAAATTTTTTTGCTCATTAGGGAGTACATGGTTTTGTTGAGCCCAGACAACTGTGCTAAATTTTTTACTCCTAGTTTGCTTCATTTCTTAAATCAATACGTCACAGTAGGGTGTCTGCTGTTAAGAGCCTATACGTTCCTCTTTCTAAACATTTCTACCAAAATTCAAATATCTAATTCTGACGTTGGGGCTGAGAGGTTAAGGAACTTTTTTTATCCAACGAGATTATTTTTCCCGAATTCTCCAAAGCCTTAAAATCGTGCCAATTTTTTTTCGCTAGCTGTTCCTGTTCTCGAGATATTAGAAGTTGTTACGAAAAAGTTTAATTTACAAACTGAGCGTCGGCAGCATAAGCAATCATATACTGCCCTCTAACGTGTCACGCGCAGCTCGTTTACTACAGCAACTCTTTGGGGTAGCCTTAGAGTTTCTTTCGGTGGATGGAAACACTGTCCGCATCGTCGCAAGAATTTTGTTTTAAAGCATTCGATAAACAAACCGGATAAGGTTGGCCTCGACACTCGGTTTATTTGGGAGTTTACAATTTCCTCAGATAGGACATTATCGAAGGCTGGGGGAAGGTCTCCTTGTTTATCTCTACAACTATGTCTAAAGTCGATTCCGCGCTTCTGTTCTTGCAATAGGCTTCTTAATTTGACCAAGAACTATCCCTGATAATGCCACCTTCTATTTGGTAAGTTGAAGTAGGAAGTCTTACAAATAATTGCAGACAAAGTCCTGTCTACAGAAAACAAATTTAAAAGTACTATCTTTAATGAGGTTTACTAGAGTTTATATAATTCTTAACTGGCAATTGTTTCATGTGTATTTTTTTGCATTCAATGTCTACCATTACATATTTAAAGTTTCCTTTTCGATATCTTTATTAACAAAGGCTTTATAACGATATAAAAAAGCTATTTTTTTTACATATTTTTTAATTATTTCAACACCCATTTTCTTGCTACCACTTGTCGTCTTCGGTATAAGCCTTAATTCGCCATAATTTATCACTTCGGCCGGTAATAATAATAATGATTGTTGGTTAGCCTGTCATCATTAGTCGCACATTAATTAAATGAGCCGCGTAAATTTGCACTTTTTATGCTAAGCTAAAAGTTAGTGGCTAAATTTAGTACACAGTATACATATATATATATATACTTATTTGTATGTACATATAGTATATGTCAGCATAGGCAACGAATATAAAATATATATTTACAACTTATATATGCAAACATACATTTGCCCAGTTTTAACAGCAACGTTAATTGCGCGTGTCAATTGTGTTCAGCCGTGCATTTATACATGCATACATACGTACATATATATGTATGTTAGGGCAGGTAAATTTTTTTAACTATGCGCGTATAGCATTGGAGGATTCTAGGTGTAATTCTAAGACAAGTTTCCATAGAAACCATGGGTTTAAAATCAGTTTGGAGCTTGTCAAATTGCGAAAATTGGCTTCGAAGGAAATGTCAAAATTTTCAT